ATGGGGGGGTCTTTTCTCCAACCTCCCTCAGAAGCCGGCCCGAATTCACTCGCTCGCACGGACGCGGGGGCCGAGCGCACAGCGACCCGCGCCGCCGCGGACCGGCGGTGCCGGCAGGGGGTCGGGGGTCCGCGGCGACGACCCGTCGGCGACAAGTCACCGGCCAACGGCGGCGGCCGGAGGCGGCGGCAGGGACCCCGGGAGGCGGGCGACACCAAACCCAACGCACGCGAGCACGCTCACACGCGGACACCGCCGGCACAGAGCGGACAGGGCCAGGCACGGGAACCGGGGTCGCGCCGGGCACGCGGCGGCGACACGCCGAGAGAGCACAACACCCCGGATCCGGGACAGGGGCGGGGACGAAGCCACACGGCTCGAGACGGAGGAGACGATGCGATGCGGGCAAGCCTACACACGGCAAAGCGGGAGGGAGGCGCGGGAACCCGGGACAACATCGCGCAGGCACGCGAGGCGGCACCCAGCGGGAGGAGGCACGTCGTGACGCCGGCTTCAGGCCCCTCGGACGGCCAACTCCCGAGCGAGGGACGCACGCGGGAATTCTCACCACCATCGCCCCCGTGGCGTACCGGCGGTCCCGCTGGCAGGAACCCTCGTCGTGAGCAAAACCGATCCGGGAAGACCCTTCAAAAGCCACCGCCGCCGCGACGACGTGCCTCCCCCACACCGGGGGAGCAGCCTCACGAGCTGAGCGCCGTCCCCCCCCCCACGAGAACACCAACACAACGCCCGACTCGACCGTCCGCCGGTGGCCGGCCACCAGGCCAAACCAGCGAGGATCGCGGAAGGCTGATGCGGGTGAGGAGGGCACGCCGGAAGCACAAGAGCAGCAGCGGGAGGGTCACCGGGTCGGGTCACCGGGGCGAGAGGCGAGTGAGCGAGCGGCCACCCCCTCACACGGGCGGGTGGCGCAGCCGCAGACCAACGGGGAGGTGGGACCTTTCCGGGCACAGCCGGCACGCCAGGTAAACGAACGCGGGATCTCACCACCCCCAACTCCGGGGCGGTCCCGCGCAACGCCTGGGACACCGAGCCGGCCGACCAGCGGACCGGAAACCCCCACCGCGGCAGCGGCGGGCCCCCCAAAAGAGGCCCGAGAGGGAAAAGGCAGCTCTCGCACACACCTCAAAGACCCCGTGAACGCCCGCGGAGCCGCCCGCGCCAGCAGGGCCCCACCGCCTCCATCCACACCACACCGCCGGGCACAGCACCCATCATCGACCGCCTCTTTTTCGGCCGCGTGAGCAAGGGCCCACACACACCGGGATCCTCGGCTCCGGGGGGCCAGAACCCCCCCGAGCGGCGCACCACCACGGGCACGGCGGCCCCGGAACACCGCGGGGCCCAGCGCCCGCACGGCGCCGTCGTCGCCAACGGGCGGCGGCCCACACAGACGCTCGGGAACAGCGTCGCCAGGGGCCGGAGGGGGAGGGGGACGGGACCCCCAAAAACCCCACGGCAACCCAAGCACGAGGCCGGGAAGCCACACACCACACGCCCTCGCATCGCGACCCGGCACGGGCTCCAGGCTCCACCACTCGACACACCGCACGCGAGGCAGGGGCGGGGACGGATCGGGAACGTCCTCCACTCACCACACCAGACGACGGCCCGGGAGAGGTCCCGCGGGACCCTCCCCCAGCTCGGAGGGGGGAGGCGCGGGCACGCAGTTTACCGACGCGGGCAGCCACTAGCGCTCAAAAGCGGGGCAGGGAGCGGCAGGGCCGCGGGAGCCCATCGGGGGGCGGGCCCCCGGCCAACCCAGCAGCGCACGCCGCTTCCCGAACGAGGATCGCTAGAGAACCCCTCCTCACTCTGAGGGTGGCCCGCACCCAACCCCGACGGGAACCCCGCCGGGAACCAGCACACATCAGAGGCGTCCATCCTTCCCACCACGGGGGGCAGGGAGGGGTGGGGCACAGGGGGGGGTCTGCGGCAGCAGCAACACCAACCCTGGTCGGTCGGCCTTGCCGTGCGGGGCCAGAGCAAAGTCGCGCACACGGGCGGGAAGCCCGCACGGGCCCCGCTCGCCTCCCACTGCAACATCTCAGGTCCCCCGGTGCGATGAAAGCCAGGTGACACGGCAGGGAAGACAAGCCAGGACCAGGGCGGCAGCTCATGCGGGGAAGCCACCGCCCAGCGCAACAAGGGAAGAGCGCTCCCCTCTGGGGAACCGCCTCGACCCCCCCCAGCAGAGACGTCAATCTCAACGGTAACTTCTCACTCGCACAAAAGCCCCACGAACCCGAGGACGGCCGGGACACACCACGGGCAGCAGGCTGGCACAAGGCAGCGGACAACGCCAGGATCGGGAACGACACCACCACTCAGCCTCAGGCACCTGAGAGAACCAACCGGGAGCGTTCCGGGAGCACCGCAAGAGGGCAGAGCGCGAGGCGCGGTTTTTCACACTACACAGCACGGGCAAGCACGGAGCACCGACCCTCCCTCTCCGCGGAGAGAGCCGACCCCCGTGCCGATAACAAGTCACGGGAAGAGAGGAGCAAGATCAGGGCGCCCCCCTCCTCCAGCGTGTACAAGTCCCCGACCTCACGGCGAGGGCAGGGAGAGCGCAGCCGGGCCCGGTTGCCGCACCCCCGCCTCCCCGCACACCACCGGCGCCGGCACGGTGGGACGGGTGAGGGCAGGGGCCCACGGGCAGAACGAGAAGAGCGGTCCCATTCGCCATGAATGTCCGTCCCTCGCCTGGCGCAGCTTAGGCCCGGGCCCGAAGGAGATCGCAACGTCACCACATCAATCACACCGAGGGGGGGGGAGAAGGCAGCCACGCGGCACTCGGGAGGCGGTGGCCCAGGGAAAGCTCGGCTCCTGAGAGGGCCAACAGCCTGGGGATAAAAGCGTAGCCAGGACAGACACCCTTCCGTGAGTAAGGAGCGAGGTAAAAAGAAAAAGAAAAAAAAAAAAAAAATGAAAAAAATACCACGGGGCTTAAGCGTCCCTGGCACTCGGGATAGCCAGGACACCTCTGCCGGGCACAGGACCGAAGAAGCTAGAAAGGGAGGGAAAAAAAAGAAAAAAAAAAAAAAAAAAGAAAAAGAAAAAAAGCCACGGACAGCGCTCGGGAGGTAGCGCAGCTCAGCGGCCGACCAGGCCCCGCCATCGGGAAGCGGCAGGTCGGGGGAGTTGGAGCTAGGGGCGATAGGAGGAAGGAAAAAAAAAAAAAGCCACGGAGGTCGGGCGAGCCCAACGGCAGAACGGGGATGCCGCACACGCAAGGCAGGACTCGGCGGCGGCGGCCCGGCGGCCCCCCCCCTTTTTCCTCCTCAGGCCGGCCACGGCGAGGGAAGCACACCGTGCGGGCCCTACCTATGCACACCCCAGGCAACCAACCACTCTCCTCCTCAGCGTGCCGAGGCAAGGGCCAGAATCCGGCACCGGGAGCGGGGGAGAGATCAAGGACGACGGGACTCACTCAGCTGCCAACCACCACCACACCCACGAGCCACCACAGGGACACAGGGCCTGCTCAGGGCAGCGGGAGCCCAGGGTGTGAGGGGAAGGACAGGGGGACCCGGACCGGGAAGAGACGGGAAAGGCCCGGCACACAGCACCCGAGAGAGCCCCCAGAGACCCGCTGACAGCCACCGGGACACAGCATGCCAGCACCCTCCTGCAGGTACAAAATCCTCACGTCACCACGCCAAAACCAGGTCGTCAGGCAGGGGCGACAACTCGCTGGCGACAGGGACCTCTCGGAAACCACATCAGGGACACCTGTCCCCAACACGTCCCCAACAGAGCCAGACACGGAACTCTCAGGGACAGCTGGTCGACCACATAAGGCGAAGACAGACGAAGAGCCAGGGCGGGAGCGGGGTCAAGGGACGCTCCCGCCCCACTACCTCGCAGGCACACACCCCGGGTGTGCACGGGCTCACCGCACGGGCGGTACGGGGAGCCTTCCCCCGGCAGACGCGAGGCACCCACTCCGAGAGGCACCCAACCACCACACCCACACCGCGCGGGGTCGGTGGTGAGCGCCCTGCCGCCAGCACGCACACACCCGGGACTCCCGGGCTCGGGTCCCCGACTCCCGAGGTGCTCCCTCCGCCTCGAGTTTTCCCCTACGCAGGGCCCACCGGGCAAGTCCCCGCAGATGGTAGGTAGGTCCCGGCCCCGAGGCTCGCCTCGGCCGTGCCCGCGGCTCCTCCCGCCGGAGAGGTCTGTCCTCCGGCCTCCGGGGCCGTGGAGGAGGCCGTGGAGGGAGGCCACACGGGGCCGGCGACCCAGGCCCTCGCTCCCGGCACGCGCCAAGCGCTCACTCGGAGGTGACTCCGACGACCATCCTATGTCGGGGATGGGGGGGGCGTAGGTCCCGGCCCCGAGGCTCGCCTCGGCCGTGCCCACGGCTCCTCCCGCCGGAGAGGTCTGTCCTCCGGCCTCCGGGGCCGTGGAGGAGGCCGTGGAGGGAGGCCACACGGGGCCGGCGACCCAGGCCCTCGCGCCCGGCACGCGCCAAGCGCTCACTCGGAGGTGACTCCGGGGAGGGGGGGGGGTCCGAGTCCGGGCCGGGACCGGCCCCACCACCTATCGGCTCACCCGGGGACCCTCTCCCCCGACTCCCGAGACGTCCCTCGTACTCTCCTTTTTTCGCCCTCAAAGACCAGAGTCCAGGGAGGGGAGGAGGACAAGGCGTCGGGCCCAGACAGAACTACTGGTCGACCCGACAAAGCTGCCACCCCCCGCACAGACCGGGCACCGAAGAGAGAGCGGCGACGCACGGCCCCACCCCGCGCTCGCCTGCGGGCGCAAAGTCCGACAGAACAGCCGCCCCGGCGCCACAGCGACACCACGGCGACAGTCGCGCCCGGCACCCGGCAGAGGCCGGGCCTCCGCCCGGCTCGCTGCCGCCAGACCTCCTCCTCCTCCACTCGCTCGCTCGGCTGAGAACGAGGGGACTGTCATATCAAAGCGGACGCCAGGGGGAGCACGACAACCGCCTTCCAACGACCGACTCCACCGAGCCGCCGTACCCCGGATCGGCGCGCGCCGGCCGGCTCTGAGCTCCGGAGACACAGAACACGGAAACAAATCGCCTCACTCACCACCGCCACGCACCGAGTGGCACAACCTAGGTCAGGACCTGCAGCCGGGTCCTCTCTGCGACCTCACGAACGACACCAGAGCCACCAGAGACCTAGACCGAGATCGGGCCGCCGCCGCCGCCGCCGCCGCCGCCGCCGCCGCCGCCGCCGCCGCCAGCGACCAAAGTGAAACCAGGAACCAGGACGAGATTCGCCCGAACGGAGCGGCCCGAACCCGAGAACCGGGAAGCTGGGATCGGTCCCAAGCAGGAAGGGGCGGCAAAGACGGCAGGCCCGCACCACGAGAGAAAACGAACCGGCCACCCGCACGACCTCCGCCGCCCGTGGCAAGACCCCCACCCCCGCCCAACATGGCCAGAAAAGGGCAAGTGAGCGCTCGTCCCACCGTCTGCCTGCCCGTCTTTTTTTTTTTTTTTTTTTTTGGGGGGGGGGTGGGGGGGGGTTGTTTGTACGTTTTGTTTTCTTTTTCCCCCAGATGGAAACCAGAAAGAGAAGAAAAAAAAAAAAAAAAACTCCCAAAGATGGGTCGGCTCCAGCAAGAGACGAGCCGTCGGGAGGCACCCCGCTCACTTGTGAAAGTCCGCTCCTCGCCCGCCCCACAACACACTCCCTCCCCCCGCCCCCACCCGCCACCCCTCACAGGCAGGGAAAGGGCAGGGGGAAGGCCAGAGAGAGGTTTCTTCTAACACACAGAGAGTAGCTACGTCACGCACACAGGTCTGGAAAACCACGGTGACCGTGCAATGGGAAGCGTGAGTCCACTCACCCATCACCGAATGACAGGAAAGCCAAACGAGAGCCGCTGCTGGCTGGGTGGGGAAGGAAGGGGAGGTGGCACCCGTGTGACGCTTATCCCCGGGCACCGCACCGGACGGAACGACCTTCTCACCGGTTCGTACTCTAGCCTGTCCAGACAGCTAGCCTTTTCTAATAGGCTCTGCCACTCTCTCTCTGGAGCAGGATTCGGGGCATGAGGCGATGAATCTAAACCCTACACACAGGTGTCGGAGGGTAGAGGCATCATCACTCACACGCCTGTGGTGGAGGACCTGGACCCGAGCGTGGCGGTGCACAGTGTGTGTGTGTGTGTGTGTGTGTGTGTGTGTGTGTGTGTGTGTGTGTGTGTGTGTGTGTGTGCGGGGCTGGGGGGAGGGCAGGTAGGGAACCCTAGGAGGAAACACAGGGAGAGACGAGGGGCCCCGGCCCAAACAGAGTGGAGGCGTCAGTCAGAGGGGCGATCCTATCGCCCCGCCCGGGGGTGAAGCATGGTTAGAACCCACAGGCCCGGCGGGCGTACTTCTCTTTGGAGTTCGCACTGGGAACATACGCAGGCACAAGTGCCCCAGCACACACATCGCATCACAGACGGGTAGAGAGGCAGAGCCAGGGGTTCAGGCATGGCAAACACTCTATTCCGTCAACACACACACACACACACACACACACACACACACACACACACACGTTACGGTGTGTGTACAATATCCACAAGGTAAAAGTTTATTCATCCATTCCCCAAAGAATAAGAATAAGATTATGTCAGACAGAGGGAAGTAGATTGATGGACTAGGAGCACGAGGTGGGGGGGAGGGGGTTGCCGGCGGCGGAGAAGAACCTAGAACAGGTGATGCCAGGGGAAGACAGACCGGCGGAAAGACAGACCGACCGACCGACCGACCGACCAACGGCACGGCACGTGTTTTCCCTCCTATGTGGATGCTAGACCTAAACTATAACTGGACATGGTAAGCTACACAGCACTCCGGGCAAACAGAGTGTGTGTGTGTGTCCCCGTGTGGGTGACACACATACCGTCCTTTTGTCAGAAGGTGTAACTTCTCTGAGCATTTAAGATATTGCAGAGAAGACATAAGACGTGATATCCCTAAGTGGCACGACTGTGAACGTATTATCACAACCGGACGTGTTAGGATTAAAGCTGGAATTAGGAGGACAGAAACGTACCTGTCATTATTACAAGTATATTTGGTTTAGGATCTTTCAAAACACATTGATGTATCCTTCTGGACACCATGGTCTAGGACCACACCAGTAAATAGCCACTTCAAAGCCAGATCATCGGTTGGATACGTTTCAATTGGTTTATATTGCATCCTCTAATATTTTTTTCTTCTTTTTATTCTATCTTCTCACTAAAGATCCAGTGGTATAAAGCTACTTTTGTTCTCTTCATATTCCATAACTGAAGTGATCTGCTTTGTTTTGCAGCTTTCTCAGCTTAATTCACTGAGGCCTATTTAGTCACACATGATGAGAGGTCCAGAAACATCTTTGGGGCCACGGATGGCTTTTGTAAAGTCCATTTGGGGAAACAGCAAATATAATCTACCATGTCCTAAAATGTAACAGATTATCTCTATGGGACCGATAGAAATATCCAGATGTGCCCTGTCAACAGCCAGTTATTTTAACTTACTTAAGGGAAATCAAGTGAATAAAAGTCTATATAGTCCAAGAAATTTTATTCTGATACCTATATAAAAAGTTTACCTGAGTGGGTGAGGACATTTGCATGAAATTTCACCTAGGGCAGCACTTGATATTTATAACTCTCCCTGAACTATTGCATTGCCTGTTTTCCATTTTCTTGGCACTCCTTGAGAA